CCAGGAAAAGCACGGGCCTAAGGCTTGGGTGATCCGGGGCCTGTCCTGCCACATCTATGACCTTGCTGTGAATTTTGGGAAAGGGCCATCCTGTTCCATGGATTTTTATGGGGACCCAGTAAGGTCATGGATGAAAAATGTTTCAGGTGCTGCACAGAGCATGGAAGTGTGGAGACGGGCCCAAGCATCCACCCGCGTCCTGTCGGGCAAAGGCCAAGTACAGACAGTGGGACGGACAAGCACCAGCCCAAGGACTGGCACCAACTCTATGTCTCTGGCTTGCCTTGGAACTTAGGTGTCGCTCGTCCATCCCGGGAGTGTCTCAGCAGTGCCAGCCTTACTTCCTTCTCAGACGGGAGGCAGGGGGTGGAGCCTCTTCTGAGCAAGAGTCATCAACCAAGCTCACCCTCTGGGGCAGCTCTGGGGGCAAGGGAGGGGTAGGGGTGCTTTTCTTAGGGGAACTGGCTGTCTCCATCTTGCAACTCAGTCCTCCTGCGGATTTATCTGCTGCCTATTAGACTTCTGCTGTGACACCCCCACTTTGGGTATTGCACCCTGAAGAGCTCCCCTATTTACCTTTGAATTACAAATTAAACCCCTCCATTTACATCTACTCAGCACAGCTGGCCTTGGAAACCCTGTGAAAAATCAGGGTATCAAAGGTTGAATGAGGTTCCTGAGGCTTGGGAACCCCCCAAATGCTGCCTCTGTTCATCAAGAACTTGAAATTCTCTGCCACGGTATTAAAAGGGGGAAGATTCTTCCACAGTGTCCAAGGATTTCAAAGCAACTTTATGGAATTAAACATCTGTGCGGCAGAATCATTTATTTGCCCGATGAGTACGTACAGAGCACCTACTACGCACCAGATGCCCTGTGGGGTCCCGGGGAAACGACGAGCTCACAGTGGGGTGGGTGAGACAGACCGAAGCAGGAAATGATATGAGCATATGCTCTGGGGGCTGCAGAAACATGGAGGAGAGGCGGCTCTCTCAGTCAGGGGTGGAGGAGTCAGGTAAAGCCTTGTGGAAAAAGCAGAACAACTCCACCTTGTTCCTCTAACTACTCGAGGCTGGGTTGCAGTTCTCTGGCAGTCAAGGGGGAAAAAAAATAAGTTTTCATTTCCAAAGCTTGCTTTGTTCCAGTTTTACCAGCTCCCTTGGCTTCAATAAAACTGTCCAAGAGAAGCTGCCCTCCTCCCTCAGACTACCCAGGTGTGAAAACTGATTAAAAACCAACTAGCAGCTCAATTAACTCTTGCCCCCTTCGTTGACGATCTTCAGGGAAATCTCCTTATCATCTCCTTGCTAACAGAGTCCTCCAGGAGAACGGCACACCCACTGTAGACGCAGCCCTTGTACTTCTTGGCTGTAAAGGACATGGCTGGGGCTTGCTTCTGATAATAAATAACCAAATAATTCAGACAAGTCCCGAGTCCCTAGATTTTGCCTAGAGATTCTTCAATAGCAGTGGTACGGATACACTTCCTATTATCAGTGACATGCCAACGAGGCCCTCCTTGGCTGTCATTTAGATTAGCTCTAGTCACATTATCCCATTACCTTGCCTTTTTTTTTTTTAATAACATTTACTACTAAGGGTAAAATCCCTGTTTGTCACTGGTTTATAAGCTTCATGAGAGGTGGACCCTCCCCTCCTTCTCCCCTTAATCCACAGCACTTCTAATGCCCAGCAGTGGGCACAGGGTCAGTGCTCAGTAAATACTTATTGAATGAACTGCTACCCTTTACTGAGCATTTACTGTGTGCTAAGATCTTTAAATCTATTATCTCACCCAATCCTCATACCAACCTCATGAGGCAGGTGCAGTTATGACCCCTCATTTTACAGATGATAATGCTTAAGAAATGTGCCCTGGGTCACTCTTAAAAAGAGCAGAGGTGACAGAGAATGCCTTCCTTACCTCCGTGAAGGGGCTACTCTTGGGCACTTCTGGGTTACTGCTTTGGAGCAAAGACATTCTCAGCAAAAACCTCATTTCATATACAGGCTTGGAACTGAAGAGGATTTTCTCAAATGCTTTGAGCACTCATGAAAGCTCTTTCAGAAGAAACCCAGGACTGAGTCTCAGTATCAGAATTACACGTAGGGATAGGAAAGAACAGGCGCTGGCAGGGGGAGGGGGTGGTGCGGGCAGCGAACCGGAGAAGTTTCTATTTTCTGCCAGCTCCGTGCTTATAAATACTACGTCCCATAAGGAAGCCACGGAGATACTATCCCTTAATGACACCGGGAACACGGACATCAATACCGAATGAGCAAGTGATAGAGAGCTCCTGCTGCTCTGCGAAGCTGAGATCATGTTGTATAAACGCTACAGAACTTTTATCATCCATCCTGGGCTGAGCAAAACCATATTCGCCCAGCACTCTGAGTAATGGCCAGAGTAGATGGATTAGGACCCTTAAATTCCTGGTTGCAAGACATTAAAAGTTTAAGAGCCCCATATAGCTGAGTCAAATGCATGTGCCCATGCTGTATAATTAGCAGGCACAACAACAATAAAGCTATAATTGAAAGGGAAGACCAGCAGGACAAGAACACAAACCGGCACCCTCCTCCCAAGTGTAGCCACTTCTCCCTTGGTCTTCACCTGCGTGAACGGTAACCCTGCCAGCCTTGGGCTTCAGCGTGACACAGGTTTGGATCTCCCATTCCTTCCCTGAGCAATTTCTGCTACCCTCTGAAGTCAGCTTTCAGGCATAAGTAATTCACCGCTCCTCTACTAAATATTCCTTTCACTTTGTCTAAACAGACTTCATAAATCAACCTAGTTACTGTTTACGGAGGCCACCGGCAGGATCTCATGTATAAAAAATGAGCATCCGTGCTCCTAAGTGGAAGTGGAGGGTCGCCTTGCCTGCAAGAGACTTCCCAGGAGACCAGGGAAGGCACAGAAGGAGACGCTTGCTTGCTCGGGTTGTCCAGGGAGCCCTGCTGTCTGTCACGTGGCATCCTGCTGTCTTGACTAGCACTGCTTGAGAAGGATTGTTTGGAGTAAGGGAGGAGGCTCAATGATGGGGTCAGAAACTCAGCCTGTAAAGAAATCCCAGGGAGTGATGACCCTAGATAAGAAATGGCATTTTGGGGTAAGCCCTTTAGTGGAAGACAGCTGTGCTCTAGCAAATTCCTGGCTACTCTGCCTTTTCAGGGGACCCCGGAGAGGTAGCTGTTCTTCCTAGATTCAATTTGCAGTTGGAAAAACTGAGAAGTTCCTCTACCTGCTGGGTACCAGCTGAGCACGAAGGGCGTTTTTGGTTCTGTTTGGCACCTCTTGTTCCATTTTTGTCCTAGTCTGGTCTACAGGCTCGGGGCCTCTGTCTTCTCTCCTAGGGAGCTTTCCTTCTTTGAGCTCAGTCTGGGCCTCCCCTGCAGCCTAAAGTACAGGATTCTCCCCTGGGCTATGATGGTGGGTGGAAATTCCCCTGCCCTCCACTTCCTCTCCTGGAGCTCCTGTTCCCGGTGTTGATACCACAAACTCAGAAGGCAAAGCACAATTATCAGCTGTGACATCATCAACACAGATTCTGGGCTGACCTCAACTCTGACCTCAGAGGAGGAAAATTAAAAGGCAAGTGCTCTTCCATTCCAGGCATCTCCTTTGGTGGTGCCAGAATTAAAACCCAAACCAAGGAAGGGCTAAGCAAAGTCATGCTGCTACACACAAACTATCTTCAAAATGAGGCTTAGACGTCAGCTGCCTTCCTTGGAAACTGGACTGGTAAGAATGAAGCTGTTTCCTCTCCTCTGATGGCCAAAAGCTTCAACTCTGGAACCTGCCCAGGCTCCGATTTTAGCTTTGTCACTTAATGTCTGTGTAATCTTGGGTAAATTGGTTAACAACTGTGAGCCTTGGTTTCCCTATCAGTATAATGAGGATCATACTATAGAGTACCCACTTAATAGAATTGCTAGGATTTCTTGAATGAAGGTATGAAGTGCTAAGAATAGGGACTGACATCCTGTTAAGTGCTCACTTTAAATTTTAGCTATTTTGATGTTCAACCATGTTTAAAGTTGACTCCCTTTATCCCTTTTCAGCACCCGCCTGGCCTCTTCCACAGACTACTTGTTTGTCACTGAAGGCTGTCCCCAAAATGGCCTTCCAATCAGATTGCAAGGATGTCTAGCCATATACCATTCTAAATTTATGGTTTGCTGACTTCTGAAATTGGAGTCTGGTAGGCAGTTTGCTGTTAAATGTATGTCACACCCTCGCCTTACCAGGGTGAAGGTCAAGTGCTTCCCTTCCACCCTTTGCACTGAAGCCTTGTCATCCTTCAGAGAAATGCAACTACCCAGTGTGGTTCCTTTCTCAAACTCCCCATCATGCAGTTGCCCATCCCCCATCACCAAGTTTACTGGGTCATCATTTCTTTTAGGAAAGCCCATAAGGTTGTGCATTTACTATAACACTGAGCACAGACAGTTAAGAACCCACCACTACTTTCCTGCTTCTAGGAGGAGGCCTGAAGTGCATCCTTGAAGCCTGCAAAGCTCAAGGCAGCTGCACCTGATCCTGGGCTTCCTGCTCCCTTCCTTCCATCCCACTTATCCAAGGCTCAGGTCTTAAGAGTTTGGATACGCTGGCGGCTGCTCTTGGGCTGGAGAGATCTAGGGTCAGAGCCACAGTCCATCTGCTCTGCTGCTGGGGAAAGACCACTAGAGATCCAGTCAAGCAAAGGTAAAGAGCGGCAGGGCTGTCAGCTTTGTGGGAAAAAAGGTTCAGGAATGGCTTGATCAAGAGCCTCAATCACTAAACAGCATCCACATAGTGATGACTCCACAACCTCCAAAAGCCAGCCACCCCCAAGAACTATCTTTGGCAAGAACCATTTAATGAATTCTATCCTCAAAACAAACGTTTTCTCCCAGGTCCTGGCACACTCGCCAGCTTCGCCCTAGGAAATTCACCCCGTGGGTAGCCCAGGGCGGGAATTCTCTCCCATCTGTCCAAGGCCTGAGGCCCGCACACTTACCATTGGCGTTCTTGCCGCAGATGAGATGTTCATAGGGCTGCAGGACGCCCCAGAGCTCCGCGTCGTTGTTGATGACCATCTCCAGGGCCTCGGGGGACACCTCCCCGGCCCCGGCCCCTCCGCCATCGGGGCTCTGGCTGGCCAGCACCCTGGCCCGGATCTCCTCCACCAGGTTCTCCATGCAGGCGGTGAGCGAAATGGCCGCGTACTCGTGGATGCGCACGGAGATGCGGGTGTCCACCATCCAACGGAAGAAGCGGCCCACCGAGAAGGTGAGGCCACAGCGCGCCGACTTGCCCCGACGCAGCCCGTCGCCGGCGCTCATGCTGTACAGGGACAGCGCCTTGACCGCGGCCACCGCGCAGCTCTCGGCCAGCGCCCAGCTGTGCACCAGGCGCACGGCGCTCTGCACCTCGAAGCGGGTGCACTTGGCGTGCAACACGCTCAGGCGCTGCGCCTCGCGGGCCACGCGGATGAGCGCCCTGCGGAGCAGCCCCGCCAGGCGCCGCACCGCCTCGGCGGAGAATAGGGGCAGCCGCCGGCCGCCGGCGCCTTTGCGAAGCACCCGGGCCACGTCTCCCTCGGTCCAGGGGAACTCCTCCAGCTCGGGGAGGCGCGGGCAGCGGGAGAAGAGGTCGGCCACTTCGGGGTCCTCGGGCAGCACCGTGTTCACCGTGTCCCAGCTGTTGTGGCGGCTGTTCATGGAGCCGGAGTAGCACCACCAGGCCGCCCCGCGGTGCTGCTGCGCCGAAGAGTTGAGCGCCTGCGAGTTGGACTTGGAGGACGAGAGGCTGAGTGAGCGGCACGAGTCCCCGGCCCCATACCCGGAGTCCAAGGTCAAGTCCTCCAGCGTCTTGAGAGTGGAGCTGTACGTCCCGGCCATGGGGAGCCTGCCGGCGGTGGCCTCGCCGAAAGGGGGGCGCTCACAAGTCCATGCTCCCTTCCCCAAGTGGGCAGGAACAGGCTCTAGGCTCTCCGGGGCGCCCTCCTTCCGCTCGGCGGCCGCATCGCCCGCCCGGAGGCCGCGGGAAGGTGGGCGAGATTCTCGGCGGCCAGGGCCCCGCGCGTCCAGAGTCCGACGCGAAGCTGTCACTGGAACGGCTCCCGCCGCTCCTCCTCGGCAGCCCCCCTGGTCGTCCTCAGCCTCCCGCCAGCAGAGCGTCTGTCCTCCGCAGAGAAGGAATCCCGGGAGAACAGGGCGGTGGCAGAAGGAGGAGGCGGCTCGCAGCGCCGCGCGAGTCTGGGACCAGCCGGCGAGAAAGCGCTCAGCAAACTTCTGCGCCGCGCGGGCGGCCCGCACAGCTGGGTACCCAGCCGCCGCCGGCATGCAAATAACCCGGGGCGGCTCACCAATCATCGGCCGCGACGGGCAGGGGCTGCACCAATGATCTCCTCGAGGGGCGGTCACTATGCAGATTTCACGGGGCTGCGGGTGAAACCCCGAGGCGAGGGAGGCGGGGCTGGAGGCCGAGGGTCGGGTAAAGCGGCGGGGATGAAGGTGGAGGAGGGGGAAGAGCTCGCGAGCCCCCGGGAGCGGCGGGAGGTGCGAGCAGAGACCGGGAAAGGAGGCGTCGAAGCGTTAGGCTCCGGAGCTGACGATTTAATGAAAAATTTAAAGGAAATGCCACGGTGCTCTGCCCCCTGCCCCCCGTCCAGGCGTTGGGCGTTCGCAGCCCCTTTTCAAGCCCCCTTGCAGCCCTGCACCGATACGGACTTGTCGACTGTGGTCGCAGGGTTGGGAGGAGGGGTGTGGAACAGCCGCCTAGGGTAGGAGGCACCAGCCAGGCACCGCACCTCTCTCCCGGACTTTCTGACAGGCCCCTCCCGTTTCCTGAGATGAAACTCTCATTTGTGTTTAGTGGGAGGAGGGACGTCCTTCCTTGCTTCTCCGGAATCCGTCTGGTTTTCTTTACGGTGCTCTCCAGGTTCCAGTCAGACCAGATCTGACGAATAGACGGGCTCCAGGAGGTCTGTGGTCCCCCTGCCTCCCCACCACGGGAAATTACGCAGTTTTCTGAGCATTAACTCTGGGGAGAGGGTCCTAACTTTTATCAGAGTCTCAAAAGAGCCCGTGCCTTCCGCGTTACATTTGGACAGTACGACTGGCTGTCAGGTGGAGACATTCTGTCCGGGGTGTGTCTGAGTGTGTGTGTGTGTGTGTGTGTGTGAAGGTGAGAAGGGTGCTAGGTAGCACTGGCCTGCGCTCCGGCACCTGGCCGCATGCACCACCTCCTGACGGTGTGCCCATGGAGGAGCCCTGCGCCCCGCCGGGACTCGGTTTCCTCCGGGGTGAAGCGAGTGCTGACTTCCAAGCAGCGCCCTTGTAAACCTGTCTCCGGCCCTGCGTCCAGAAGCGGTCAGCCAGAGCGCTGTGGTTCCAGCAGATCCACGCCCAGTCCTCCCCGTCCGCCTGCTGTCCTGCAGCTATGCACACACACGTGCTCGAACGTGCACATGCCCCCTCCCGTGCAACCGCAAAGTGAAGGAGGAGATTGTGCACGCGGTGCCCCCAAGTCAGCCTCCCCCGCTCCTGAAGGGCTCCTTTGTGCTGTATCTTACACAGTTCCAACTTCGGGCCGTGAGTTGGATACGAACTAGAAATGTCTGGTTTGTCTCTTTACTTCTGAAATTAATGGCCCTTTCCCTGTGAAATTCCTTTTTTTTTTTTTTCCTGTGGCAGTTTGGCTTAATTTTTCCTTTCTGCGGGTCTTTTATTTATGCAATATCGCCGCCTCTTGGTCAGGAGAGAGAACGGAGTCAAGGGTGGAAGACACAAGTTCGCGAGTTCAAGTTAACAGAGGACACAAGGTGTGACTACAGCGGATGGAACTGAGATAAGTCAAAAGTGGGTATTGAGGTTCAACATGCCAAAAACGAAATGTGATGCAATTTAAAACTTATTAGCGGAAATATAACTTTAAAGCAAATGTCGCCCTCTAATGGACATTTAGAGGAAAGAAATTGCCCAAAGGTTGTTTTTATTTTTCCTACCTGCCTCCCTCCCTCCTTCCTTCCTTCCCTCCTTCCTTCTCTCTCTTTCCTTCCTTCCTTTTTTGTTGTGCACACCCTTAAGAAGCAGAGAAAATTTTTTAACTGGAAATTTAAAACAGGAACTTACTGAGTGGAAAAGTTATCTAGGAAAGAGTCGATTCCATTTATCTTATAAATGACTTGATGACATAAAAGTGTAAAGACAATCAAACATGCCTACAGACAAATTTCAGAATCTTGTGGATGTTAAGCCACTCGCAAGTATTTGTTCTGCAAAATTCAGCCATGGAAATTACTACTGGAAAAACAATTGAGTTTCATGAATAAATAAATTACAAAGAGAGAAAGAGACATATCAACTAGTTAGTCATAATGTGTGGAATTTATTTGGAATTTGATATTTTAGAATCAATAAACTTTTGACATTATGAAACAACTGGAAATCAGGAACATCGCCCAGATCTTTGCTATTATGAAATCGCTATTATTTTTTTGATGTGGTAATGGTAGTGTGGTATGTTTATTAAATACTCTACTTTTAGAGATACATAGTGAAATGTGTGTTGTAACTTTTTCATAAGAAAAAGGAAGAAAGTTCTTATGGGAAAATCTGGTAAAGGGACTAGAAAGTTATGAAAGTTGGTCAAGATTGTAGATCTCTTTTCTTTCACATGTTCACCAAAGTCTTCTATGGCCAACTTGAGGACTGGACATACAGAGTAAACCCAGAGTGTGTCTCTTTGTGTTACATGTGATGGGGGGAGAAAGAAACATAGAAGGTAAAGAGACATAGAAGAGAGAGAGATAGAGAGAAAGAAACATAGAAAGATAGAGATAGAGGACAAAATACATTGAGCCATGTTAGAAATTAACCAGCTGATTGATTTCAGTTAGTCATTTGGGAAGTTGGCAAGCAGGGTGAAAAACTTTGGATCCAGAAAGAAAAGACATGGCTTCTTATACATACACGTGTGTGCTTAAGGCAATCTGGTGGTAATGTGATTGTTAGGAATGAAAATTATATTAGAAGAAGGGGAAGTATCCTCCCAACCCAGGCCTGGCCCAAATATCATTTTTGGAGAAAAACAACTGTCATGTATCTGGACACATTAAAAAGAACATGATGAAACCATGGCAAATATTGGGAGAATTCCCAGTGGAGTGAGTAATTAAAAATCTGAGATTGCCCATGCAAAAATATATAAGGGAGGAAGCTTGAAATACAGTTTAGAAACTTTACCTTGGCTGATGTCTCATATTTTGTTATATAGTTTCTTACAAAATCAAAATCTATCTGGAGATTAAGGGATGAAATACCGTAGAATTTATCTTGAAAGCAAAGGGGTGGGGTGCCAGGGTGGCAGTTGAGCCTCTGCCTTTGGCTCAGGTCATGATCTTGGGGTCCTGGGTTCAAGCAGCGCATCGAGCCCCGCATCGGGCGCTCTGCTCAGCAGGGAGCCTAGCTTCCCCCTCTCTCTCGGTCTGCCTCTCTGACTACTTGTGATCTCTCTCTGTCAAATAAATAAAATCTTTAAAAAAGAGAGAAAGCAAAGGGGTTAAAACTAAGTAAACTAAGTACAGGCAGAACTCTCATATGAGAAAGGTCACTTATGTCCTTGACTTTAGGGAGTGACCAAGTTTCAATTTAGTTTGTGGATCGTTTTTGGTAAACTCTCAATAATATTCATTGAATACCTACTGGGTCTAGACTGTGCTAGACACTACAGAGGTGCATTAGACAAGGTTCCTGCCGTTGAAAAAAATGTTTAATATGCAGTGAGACAGGCATACGAGACTAACTATTCTGCAAAATATGCTTTGCATATTTTGATTAAGGGTCACTGTCAGTTCTCTGACTCACCACACAGCTGGGTGCATGTAGAAGAGACATGATACCAACACGAGGAAGAAAATACTCCATGCAATGCAAGGAGAGCTGGAAATGGTGCCAGGCATTGTAAGAGTGTGCCATGGTTAGTGGAGAAGTTTTGTGGCAGAAAATCCAGCAGAACCCTCATTCATGAAAAAGGAACCAATGTTGTGGAAACTGTGAGATGATACTTCCATTCCATGCAACCCATGTTAGCCCAGTCCTGACACAGAGTTGTTGTTTCTCTCTCCCCCTTTTCTGGACCTCATGACTAAAGAGATACACAGATCATTTGGAACAAAGAGCCCCCAAGATGACCCAGGGAAAAAGAAATCCACTTCTCCAAAGCACATTCTGCAGAATGGTGTTAGGGGTTGGTCTGTGAAACAAAGATCAGTAGTCACGTTTGGGAAATTCTGCATTCTGTTTCTCCCTCTAGTATAGTCATGAGGGATAGTATTTCCTTTCAGGCTTTTTCATATTTCCTTGAACCTAGTATATACCAGGCTTAACTCGGCAGAGTATTCCTCCTGCCCCGGGGCTGCTGCAAAAATAATTGGAACTTTTTATTTAGCTCAAAGCAGAGAAGACAATGACCATGTTTATGAGTTTGCTCATGCAGAGACGGTAAGGCAAGACCCTTGGAAGCAATCCAGATAAATCCCAGAACAGAGCAACGTTCCCCACTAACCAATGTCTAAAGCTGGAGTTTAGTGATCTGTTAGACACAAATGTGATTCCAAAGGTAGGTCAAAACCTAGAGCACTGGTCCACAGGGGAAAAGGAGGTGGTGTGGGTTTGGGCACTGGGGCAGGTCAAAAGGTTTACAGAATAAACCAGATGGGGGTGGGGTGGGGTGGGGTGGAGGTAGAGACTGTCCAAGGGGGGAATTCTGCTTATTAGGCAACTGGTTTCAGATTTGTTAGATGCTATTAGAGATGAAACCATCAGCACGTGGGGATTAAGGGCAAGAATTTTAGTGGATGGCCTGGAACTCAGAGCTGCATTCAAACAAGAGGACAGAAAACCAAGGAACAGCCTCATGGCGGTAATAATGCCACATCCCTACAGGTGAATATTCTGTATGTTTTTCAAAATGCACTGCCGTTGTGTTCTTCCGTCCTGGTATAGAGAATATCTACGGTGACATATGATATTCAACTCTGCAATATTTACTCAACATTCATCTTGTAAGACTCATCTGGCATTCTAATTGCATACCTGAAGTCCCAGCTCCCTTTCTTGAAGGTCCTGATTCAGGAAGCCTGGAGCGTGATCCAGGTAAAAGTATTTTCGACAAGCATTCCCAGAATCCTAAGGCATTTGTCTCTTAAACCTCAGAGTGCCCGAGGACTGGTACAAAAATGCTTATTCTTGAGCCATACCTGCAGAGTTTCTAATTCAGTAGGTCTGGGGCTGACGAAA